TTTTTTTGGTACCGGGGATTGAACTCGGGACCTTGTGCTTATGAGGCAGGCGGCAGAACCACTGAGCTAAATCCCTGGCCCAATATTATGTAAGTAAATGATTCTGTAAGTAAAAGTTCTCAGTATTCCTGGTTTTAAAATTTTTTAATTTTGTTATTTATTTTTTATTTTTTTAGTACTGAGGATTGAACTCGGGACCTTGTGCTTATGAGGCAGGCGGTGGCACCACTGAGCTAAATCCCAGCCTTTTATTTTGTTATTTTGAGACAGGGTCTCACAGTGTAGCTCAGGCTGCCCTTGAACTCACTATGTAGTCTAGGCTGGCCTTGAATTTGTGGCAATCCTCCTGCCTCAGCCTCCCAAGTGCTGGGATTACAGGCATGGACCACCACGGCTGGCCATATTTTTTCACCTCAGAAATAACTACTCCTAGTTCCATCAGATTTTTCTATGTGTATATAAACATGTATTTTTTTTAAAAAATGGATTACCTGATAGACATTTTATAGGTTGCCTTTTGATTTTTTTCTATGTAAATATATTGCAGACTCTTTTCCTTGACAGTCAATATTCTATTTTTGGTTTTCTTATTTTCTTCACAGATAAAACTGTATATAAAGTGATTCTCTGTGAGACATAATTTAATTTTTTTCTAGGATCATATCATAAAATAATTGTTTATTTACAACTGCTGAAACAGTTGTAAAATTATATTTGATAACCAAAATAGCTATTAAACTAAAGACACTACAGATGATAAAAATCCATCTTCTTAGGAAACTGGGAGTGTAGCTTAGTAGTAGAGCACTTACCTAGTATGCATGAGGCCCTGGATTCAATTCCTAGAACTGCAAAAACAAAACTATGAGGAACATGCAGTAACCAAACTACTAAATATCTGGCTTACAAAAGAAATTCTTTGCTCAGAAGTGGGCTCAATCCTGGCCAAATTTTTGCAACCTTTTAGACACAGTTTTTGTACCTTACTATAAACCTTCAGTTGAAGCAAAACATAGAGGGGGAAAGGAATTGAAGTGACAGATGCCAGTCTGGAAAGAAGGATTCAGAATAAACCATTTCCTAAGGTCTAGGAGACGGGGAGACGGGGAGACGGGGAGACAGGGAGACAGACAGGGAGACAGGGAGACAGGGAGACAGGGAGACGGAGAGATAGAGAGATAGAGAGAGAGAGCTGAGAAACAAGCATGTAAGCTAGTGGATCTCAAGCTGTGTTCCACTTCTAACTTGTCACAGGTCTACTTTTTAACTGGTATCAAACTACAGTGGACCCTCAAGTTACGACCTGCCTGACATGAACAACTTGGGTTAATTGGGTTAATGGAGGATTCGTCTTCCTCTTAATTACCTATAGCACATACCCAGGGAAACATCCAGATCTCAGCTGCATTGACTTACAACCAACTTGATTTATAACCAGCCCTTGGGAACTGATTAAGTTCATAAGTCAAGGGTCCACTGTACTACTCATTACATAGGGCACTGCAATTGAGCAACTGACAGACTTCTCTTAAAAATGGCTTCCTCTACAGCTAAACCACTTTCTAATGACTTCAAAACCTGATGAATTAAGTCCTCCAAAACATAAAATCAAACAGAAATGTCCAAGAAACAGCCACCTACATGGAGAGAGGGGCAAGGCAGGGAAAGCAAACTGGAAAGATTCTTCTCCAGTGGTTTTGGTGGATTATCTGTCCCTTCTTGAATTTTCCTCCTAATATTTTTCTATTTTGAAGCCTATAATTTACTTCCTATTATCTCCCTGTATTTATGAAAGCCATATCAGGAACCATATCTGCTAGATGCTTACTCTACCTTACCTCCTCTAATCTTTCAGCAACCAAATGCACATCCTGACATTCAGATGAGCTAAATAATGTGCAGTACTTAAGGCAAAACTAAAATATGGAATCTGGGATTCAAAACACAAGTAAAAAGTGCTACTTAAGATATGAAAATACAAAGCATTTACCTTTCTTGTGCTCTCTCAGGATATTCTTTACTCAGGATTTAAGGCTGCACTGCACCGGAACACTCCCAGAACACTCACCGGCACTGCTAGTGCGGATGCTCACGAGGCACACGGGAGCTCACTCACCACAAGGTGAATGTGCTCACCTGTGCGCTACAGCTCATCAGGTGCCAGCTTTCTCTCTTGACAGCTACCCAATCCACATGCCATGCCTCAGCTGGGGCAGGCCTGTTGAGCCTTCCTGTCAGCCTGACTCCAATCTCAGGTTGATAGGATGCACTAATTAGGGAGACTGGACTGGGTAAAAGACTGGCCTCTGCTCCACAGTGCACCATGGCCCTGCTCTAAGACATCGCAGGGTGTGCAGGGTCAGCTCCCAACCTGTGGTCTGGACTTGCCAGCCCTGCAGAGAGGCCGCTAGAGGTTGTGAGGTGGAAAGGCACGCAGCTGGCAGCCAAGAACGCAACTGGCGTGGTGGAGAAGCCCCAGTTCTTGCTGCATTATCACAGCTAACTTCACTCATAAATCACAGAGACAAAGATAAAATGAAAGCTAGAAATTCCATTTGACCCAGCTATCTCCCTGCTGGGTATCTTCCCCAAAGAGTTAAAAACTTCATATTACAGGTACAGTGGATCCTCAAGTTATGACCAGCCTGACATACGAACAATTTGGGTTAATTACATTAATGGAGGATTCCTCTGCCTCTTGTTATCTATAGTGTGTACCCAGGTAAATATCCAGATCTTAGCTGTATTGACTTACAATAAACCTGAGCTACAAACCATCCTTTGGAACTGATTGAGTTCATAAATCAAGGGTGCATTATATATATGGATACTTATGTTTATAGCAACACAATTCATAAAGGCTAAATCTTGGAAGCAGTCTATATGTCCATTCACATGAATGATAAAGAAAATGTGGTTTAGCCGAGGATTTAGCTTAGTGGTTCCAGTGTCTGCCTTGCAAGCACAAGATCCTGAGTTCAATTCTTGGTACCAAAAAAAAAAAAAGAAAGTGTGGTTTAACACACAATGGAATAGTACTCTGCCATAAAGAAAGATAAACTTGAGTCATTTGTAGGAAAATGGATGCACCTCAGGACCATAATGTTAAGTGAAATAAATCAGACACACATGCTTAAATATTGCTGTTTCTCTTACATGAAAAACTCAAATATAAACAATGAGCAAAATAAAAGATAATAGGAAGTAGGGAAATAGATCTTTCTCAAATGAGAAAGGAATCAAGAGGTGGAGGAAGATGGGAGGGAGGGGAAGGAAAGGCGACAAAAAAAAGGAATTAAATTGTGTACATGTACCAACTCCACACAAGGAATGTGAACATTATGCATGCTGTAAATATGTACTAATACAAATTTTTTTAAAAGATAAAATTACTAAAAATTCAGAATGCTGACTATGGGGCCAGGATCATACTGAGCATGGAGCACTGGTCCCAGAGCCATGAATCCAGCCCTACAGACACAGAGAGGACAGCCAATGAATATTAGTTTCTTTCTCTCCTTCAATTATTTCCTGGCTCCAAAACAACTCACTGTCCCACCCACCCAATGGAAGGCATTAGATTTCTTAGTCAAAAATATAGCAGATTTATTTCCAAGGGCAAGGAAGAATCACGTTGTTCTGTTTCCTCTCTGTTGACAAATGAGGAAACTGGGCGAGCCCCGGTGGCATGCTCTGTCCATCTGCTATGGACATAGAGTCCTAGGGCTAAAGCCAGAATCCTAGACATTTCCATCATGTGCAACTGTAGTGGAGCTGGGTGGCGAAAGCATGACAAGGCTTCTGCATAGACAGGTTGTACACGGCAAGGTCATAAGCCTTACGCTTACCACTGACTTTTGGGAGAAAAATAACCAGCACATCTTGATTCTTTTCTTTTTTATTCCGGTACTGGGAATTGAACCCAAGGATGCCCTCCCACTGAACTACATCCCCAATCTTGTTTGGTTATGATTTTATTTTGAGATAGGATCTCACTCAGTTGCCCATGCTGGCCTCAAACCTGCAGTCCTCCTGCCTTGGCCTCCCAAGTAGCTGGGATTACAGGCGTGTGCCACGGTGCCTGGCACATTTTGATTCTTTAAAATGTTTATTAAATGTCCTTTTGATATGTTATGTTTTTAATGTGAATGCAATTCATATTAAGAAGAAAAGTCTCTTCATAGAAGATCATCATTAACTTGTTAATTATTCATGTATGCTACAATACGGATAATGTCACATTGACCTATACCTTAGAAATAAGAGGTATTTAATTGTAAGGTTATTCTTATAATAGCTTAAGAGTTATTTAAATAATTTTGTGAGATTTTGAATTTGTGGGTCTGTCAGATAACACACACATGCCTTAACTTCTCAGTAAATATATGACCATGTCTTTGTGGCCATGTGAAAGTCTTTTCTCCCATGCAGTACCTGCTGGACCTTATAAACAGTGTTTTCCCTTACTTTGACTGCCATTATTTTTTTTGATCTGATTAAGCAAATTTTTCAAATCTACACAAAGAAAGAGAATCATAAACTCATCCCCGAACTTCAACAATAATCCAATAATTTACCATCCTAAAAAAAGTGACCATTTGTTTTCCAAAGAACTCTACATAAGTTCTTATCAGGCTCCTTTTCAAATTCTGGCCAAGATTTCATGAAAAAGTCAACAGCCGGATAACCTCAAAACACATGAGCTTCAGGAAGTGAAAAGCCAAACCACATATGAACCTTGAAAGACAGCTTTCACTGCAGGATGGACCTTAGATTTGTCTTGTTTACAAAATAAAGCAGTGGAATGAAAGTTTTAAGCAGAAAGGACGGTCATGATTAATACACCTGAATACCACTGTGCACCCTGAGTCCATACACGGCAGGGGATTCGGATGTCTTACCAGGCAAAGGAGTCATCAAGGATCTCATACATTTTTGAGAGAGAAAAGCTACCAAATTGCCAAGAAAATGTAATTTGATATGCCAGAAATAAATCATTGCAGTGGATTGCAGCATTTATTTACATTCTATGTGCTTTTTTTTTTCAGGACAGGTAATAATTTTCCTTGATTTTCAAACTACATATTAATTATAAGCATGCTGTTTGGTAGAAAATTCTAACTTTTCAGCATCAAACTATTAATAAAATCATAATCTAACCACAAAAGATCTCATGCCCATACATATGCTACCAATGATCTTACTATTTCTGGTGTAGCCTATGAGCAATCTTGATAAACTAATAAGAGAAAAATATATAACTTCTGTTTTAGTTGACTCATCCACAGCAACCTTTTATAAAAATTGTCCTTCAGATTATTCTTTTTTAGTATCACAATTCACTATGACTATTAGCTGCCTCAATTAAAAGATAGTCCAACTGCAGAGGAAAAGGTGAAGTAAAATGAAACAAAATCTGAAACTTGGTCCAGTTCATTATTCAAGGCACAAGCAGTCCAAGGGCCAGCAGCAGACAGAGTCCCTGAGTACTTGTTTTAGAAAGGCAGCTCTAAGGCACTACCAAGCTCTCAGGAAATAGAATTAGCATTTTAATGAGATTCCCAGCTGACTGGTATGCCCGCAAAAGTTTAAGAAGCATTGCCCTAAATTTTCTTCTATCTCTGTGCAGATCCTGTAACACCACAATGAAACTGACCACTAATATTTTGCCACATTTTTGATAACTTACTCTCCATTAGAGAACCAAAATTCACTTACTTTATCTGAATGATATATATAGATATATAAACTCATGGATATATGTAATTAAATATTCCTTTACAAAGCTACTCTCTTTGAAAATTAACATTTGGAGATAAGACATTTGATTTCCAGGAATCAATTAGAAATTCTAGCTAGAAAAGAAAGTCATTTCACATTCATAATAACCAACAGTTTTATCTATGTCTCTATATAACAGTAAGAGAAAGTGACAAAAGTTTAAATATTAAAACATTAGATAAAAAAGCTTGCCACTAGCATACTCTAACCCACGCCAACATGAAAGTGCTAATATGAACATATACCCTGTCATAGCATCTTCCATAACCATTATCTACAGAGAAAATATGGAGTTATTCTTTAAAATATTTTGTTTTCTGGATATCTAAGAAACATTTTTAATTGGAGAAAAATGAGAAAACTAAAGTGCTCCTCATTCTGTTATTTCCTTCACATTTTCACAGAGTAAACTCTGGTTTTAAAAGTTTTTAAAACATGAATGGGGCCGGGGACGTAGCTCAGTGGTACCGTTGCCTGCCTGGCAAGTTCAGGGTCCTGAGTTTGATCCCTGGTAACAGAAAAAAAATAAACATATAAAAATAAAACATGAATAAAGTAATTATTTAGTGGACTGTTTGCTCCCATATATATTTTGACTTTAGCAATGATAGATGCACATGGTCTCTTGTATCTGGGTTGAGATACACAAGTCACAACTGTCTTTATGCGCCTACAAAATGTTCAACCAACCTTTTAAATTTTATTTGAAAGAAAACTGTTACCACTGTGATCCAAAAAAGCGTCTGATCTCAACAAATTAATGAATCCTTAGAAAAACTGAAATTTAATGGGGTGAAAATGAGAGGAACTAGAAGACAGTTTGGCTTTGGTGGTGGCCAGATAGAGCCAGGTGTTGGTTCCATGGCCATGGAGGGAGAGGGAGAGAAAGTAAGGCAACGCTCTTCTTCCCACTTTCCTTCTCATACACCATCACCCCCACTTCCTCTTGCTTCTCCTTTACCATCTCCAATGTGCTTTTCTTCTCAGATCAAAAGACTTCTGTCCTTGCTAGTTGGGGAAAAACCAAGAAACACTTTCTCTACATGTTCCCCCAAATTAGCCATAGGCAGTTTGTTAGAAATGATCCTTAAAGATGGACAATTTTGACAATCAAAATTGCAGGTTTATCGTAGTATTTAAGAAATCTCCTAAAGTTTTTATTAGGATGCATGTGTACCCAGTGTTGAATCAAAAGCATAAAGGCAATTCACTATTAGGCTATGCTTAGTTGGCTATTCCACAATTCCTTGATCCTTCTCATTAGAAATTTCTATTTCTGATTTAAGTATAAATTAGATTCTGAAGGATAAGTTTAATTTATACCTTATATTAAACAGAATATAAAATTACAAGACAACTTTACCTGGGTTTTCAAATCTCTGTTTAAAAAACTCTTTATAGTCATACAATATTAAAAAATC